TCGCCGGCGACTCACGGCAGCCCAGCTCCAGGTTGAGCTGTTGTTCAGCATCTTAGCTGTGGAGGGCAGTGTTCACTGGCCCTCATATGTGGGATCCGAACCGGGGCCCTCTGGCATCCCAAGCGAGTTCTTAACCATCGCGCCACTCGGCCGGCCCTCACTAAACTTTTAAAAATAATTTTTTTAAAAAGAACAATTTTGAAAAAGTTATGTAAGTATTGCTACTCTTCCTGAATATATATCAATACACACACACACACACACACACACACTTTGTGGAATTAAGTATCATTATAGAATAAATGTGCTTCTAAGAGCCATGTAGTTCAAATGATTATTCATTTTTCTGCATATAACCCTGAATATGAATCTATGAAGTTTCAAAATATTTTAATTCTATACTGGGGGTGCCAAAAAAATGTATAAACATGACTTGTATTCATCTTTTGTTATCAGTATATATTGAGTATTATAATTTTAATAGTTTCTTCCTGTCTTAAAATGTGCATATTTTTTGACACCCTCTGTATATCATGCTTACAAACTTATTTTAAATAATTTCAGAATATCAGTTCAAATGTGAATAACTTCACTCAATTATCATTTATTTGCACACATTGTGTTAGGCATCAATGTTAGGTAATGAAGATACAATAGTGAATAAAGCAGTGTTCCAGATTCCAAAAGCTTAGTCTTGTGACATATACAGCTAATAAACAACTGTAATACAGTTATGTATGGAAATTTACAAGAGGACGTAGGAGGAACTGCACTATTTGGTATGTTTATTTAGCTCACAATACCCACAGCTCCTTCACTACCACCCTTCTAACAACTCTGTCTCTCTCAGAACTGTCACCCCTACAATAACAAAGGTGGGACTCCAGCAGATGTGTCCCCATTATGTGATTCTCAACCCCCTTACAACTGAACCAAGGAATAAAAACCTAATCCAAACTTGGCCATTCAGGTTCTCTACAATTTGAAACTAGGACTGAAGGATAGTAACCTGGTTTATGCATATGGCTAGAACTGTGAAACACACAAACTTTGGAACGCTATGTGAGCTATATTTTAAAATTTAAAGCAGTGAAGACTGCACATAAAGTTCGGTAAAACAGCCATGTAGACTAAATGAATAGTCCTAATGGTATTCCAGTTTCTAGTTCTTGTTTTTTCCTGTAGTCCAGCCCCATTCTTGGCCTTGGCTTTCATGAAACATTCCCATATCCTTCCAGTAAATTCCCCTTCCTTAAATTAGTTCAAAGTGGTTTATCTTGCAGCCAAAGAATCTTAACTAATACTGAGTAATACCTGAATTTGACTTATAAATGTGCAAGAAGTTCTTGATACCCTCCCTTCTTGCTCCCCTCTACATGGATAGTTCAGAATACAGAAATCTTTCTTAAATTTTTATTCTCCAGCCTCAAACCTTCATCTGTTACTTTTATAAGTCTATGTCATCAAACCACCTCCACTCTTCTGACATGCGAGCATTACTATCTTCATTTCCAAAAGTAGAGCTCAACAGATTAGACTGAACTTATCCTTTCTCCTCTGCTTCTCTAACTTGCTTCCGTCTATTTAATACTACCACCATTCCCTGTTATCCAGGCTTAAAATCTTGGAGTGATCTTCAAATCTAATAAATGTTTAGTTGTGAAATAATACTAGATTTATAGATAACATAGAGTTCCCGTATACTCCTCCCCAGTTTCCTTTGATGTTAATATCTTACATTATCATTGTGTATTTTTCAAAATCAAGAAACCAATATTGGTTCATTACCAGTAACTAAAACTGTAGATATTATTTGGATGTCAGCAATTTTTCCACTAATGTTCTTTGCTGTTCCAGGATCCAATCCAAGGTGTCACATCGCGTTTAGCTAAAGTAGCTTTTGAATCCTCCCTCTTCCTCAACTGCTCCATCCAATTAGTTATCAAATCTTATCAACATCCTACTTGACTATTCCACATTCTTATCACCACTATCTAGACATCTTGCTAGACCCGAGGGACACAAACATCTCATGGTCTGGTGGTGAGTAAACATGTAAACAAGCATGTCGTTTACATTATTAATTGATTTTTTAAGGCCTTCAATGTTGCTCACCAAATAAAGTGGAAGATGTGATGAAGGCTCTCTATAACATATTAATAGTAATATAGAGTACCAAACAACTCAGAGCCCTGTGTTTTCTCACTGAACCCATACATATTATTTTCTCTGCCCAATTTGTTCTGCTATCTCTCAATTTCACCTACTAAAATCCTACATACCCTTCAAGGCCCAGATTTAATAACACTGCAAAAATGAAACCTTCCCTGATCCCTCAAACCACAGATTATTTCTCTTATTAAGAGTTCAATTCAGCCTAGCAAAGTAGCAAAAACAATGTATTATTTATGTAGTTTCATATCTGTTTTCAGGTATAGTTTTATTTCACAAAGAGTAAAATTACACTAAGACTTAAAACATTATACTCTCATCACGTTGGGTTTGGTTCTATCTGTACCATGCACCAATTTCAATGTCAAAAATTTTAAGAAGATATGAAAAGCATTTAAAAAAAATCCTTACAAAAAAAAATTTAAATTACCTGTGCTCACAGCAATGCTTACACTTTTACTCATGTGCAAACCAGGAGAAGACTGTGCTTCCACAGAAACCAACTCCATTTGTTTTGCAGTATGCCCCGTGTCTTCAACAATGGCTGTATTAGGGGAACAGGGCTGAAGAGACTGTGCTTCCAATAAACGTTGAATCTGTATCAATTAAAAACATACCGTAAACTGACAGTGAAGTAATCAACAAAACTGGCAGCAGAGTTTAAATATGAATTACAATGTAACCCAGTTATAAATAACTGACTTTTAACTATATATTCTCACATTTCAACTAGATAATACCATAAAACTTATTCAAGGTAGAAAATCATCGTTCATTATTAAGAAGCACTTCGGGCTATATGTAAATTTAAAAGTGAAAACATACAAGTGTTTAGATTAGCATTCATAAATTGACACTCACAGAAAAGCCTGAATGTTAACACTTCAAACTAATATTTCGTATAAAAATCAAAAGTAAAATAGGAAGTATACCCTGTACCAAATATTGGACACTTTTACACAAGATTCTTCTTATAAAGGTTAATCAGAATTACCCATGTTTGGCCATGCTGAAACTGAAAATATTAACAATGTCTAACAGTTGCTGAGTGCTTCCTGTTTACACAACACTACACTAAAAGCTTTCAGGTATAATTATATAACCCCATGAGGAATGTATTACTATTGGATACGTTTATTTATTAACAATTGAGGCATTAACAATTAAGTTATATGCCTAGGTCACATAACTAACAATTAGCAAAGCTCAAATACTGAAAGCTACCCCTCCTCCTTTTAAAACCGAGATATAATTTACGTACCACAAAATTCATCCCTTTAGAGTATACAATTTAGTGGGTTTTAGTATATTTACAAAGTTTGCATTCATCAATCCTCCAAAAATCTCTGCACCCATTAGCGTCACTCTCCATTGCCCCTCTCCCTAGCCCCTGGCAACCAATAATCTACTTTCTGTCTCTATAGGTTTGCCTATTCCGGACATTTTATATAAATGGAACTATATAATATATGGCCTTATATTTTGCTTTTTTTTCACTAAGCATAACATTTTTAAAGTTTTATCCATGCTGTAGCATCTATCAATCTTTATTCCTTTTGCTAGCTGATATCCCATTGTATGTGTATATCACATTGTGTTTATCTATTCATTAGTTGGTGGACATTTGGAGTGTTTTCGCTTTGAGCCATTATAAATAATGTTGCTATGAGCATTTGTTTACAAGTTTTTGTGTGAACATATTTTTTCATTTCTCTTGGGAATATCCTTAAGAGAAGAGCCTCCCTTTTTTAAACAATGTGATTTTCTACTTCCCTATAAATTAATACTATTGTGTTCACCTCATTTCATTAATTTTAGATTAACTTTATTAATATAGAAAAATAAGTATTAATGAATTGTTAAAATCAGCAGAAATTTAACCTGCATTAATACAAAATAGCATATGCACTTATTGGTTTGGGGCATAAGCTTTGGTGTCATAAGGACATAAGTTTAAATCCTACTCTGCTATTTTTTGGAAAAGTGATTTCACCAATGTAGTTTCAATATTATGTAAAACTAAGGTCGTTGTGAGGATTAGTAGATAAATAAAATAGCTGTAATTTGCTGAGTACTTACTATAGCCAGGACCTACACTAAGTACTTATATACCTGGGGTGCCAAAAAAATGTATACATATGACTTGTATTCAGCTTTTGCTATCGGTATATATTATTACATTTTAATAGTTTTTTCCTTTCTTAAAATGTGTACACAGGGGACGGCTGAGTGGCACAGTGGTTAAGAGCTGGCTTGGGAAGCCAGAAGGCCCCGGTTCGGATCCAACATATGAGGGCCAGTGACACTGCCCTCTACAGCTAAGATGCTGAACAACAGCTCAACCTGGAGCTGGGCTGCCGTGAGTCGGTGATGATGACGGCGTAGGCTGCAGCCCCTGCTGCAGTGGGTTGCCATGGGCGACCATGTGTAGCCGGCAGCCAGCGTGAGCGGCCAGCAGCCACCGTGAACGGCCGTCCAGAAGCCGGCGACTGATCTGCCTTGCCCAGGAAGAGCGCAATGATGGTACCAACTTGGGCCAGTGAAGCAACGTCCTTCACGACTAGACTGAAGAACAAAAGGACAGCAATTTGTCTGTTCCCCTTCCCCCAATTCCCCAGCACTGTTCCCATCCCCCAATTCCCCAATAAAAATCTTAAAAAAAATAAATAAAATAAAAATAAAATGTGTACACAGGGGCGGCAGGGTGGCTCAGTTGGTTAGAGTGCGTGCTCTTAACAACAAGGTTGCCGGTTCAATTCCCGTATGGGATGGTGGGCTCCACCCCTCGCAACTAGATTGAAAATGGCAACTGGAGTTGGAGCTGAGCTGTGCCCTCAACTAGATTGAAGACAACTACTTGACTTGGAGCTGATGGGTCCTGGAAAAACACACTGTTCCCCAATAAAATTTCTTAAAAAAAAAAATGCGTACACATTTTTTTAGCACCCTCTGTATGTATACATATATACAACACATTTAACCTTCAAATCGACATATACGTACCAATCAACTGCTCAAAATTTACAGATAAGAAAAGTGAGGTAAGAGGGGCAGGGGTGGTAGATGAGGGTAAAAGGGATCAAATATATGATGATGGAAGGAGAACTGACTCTGGGTGGTGAACACACAACGTGATATATAGATGATGTATTATAGAATTGTACACTTGAAACCTATGTAACTTTACTAACCACTGTCACCCCAATAAACTTTAATAAAAAAAAAAAGAAATCTTACCATTTAAAAAAAAATGAGGTTTAGAACACATAGCAAACACTTGATAGGAAACTTATTATAAAGCTGTAGTGATTAAACTGAATGGTACTGGTGCTGGAATAGATAGGCAGATCAATGGAGCAGAATACAGTACAGAAATAGATGTAAACACATGATACATTACACAATAGTGCATTTCTAAATGATTAACAAAAATATATAGTATTCAATAAATATATGGGGCCTGTTATCTGAGGATTAAAAAGAAAAAAAAATCTCTTATCTCATATATCAAAATAAAATAGAAGCAACAAATATGATCTTGGAAGGGAAGGGAAGATGAAAAACAATAGATTTTTAAAAATTATCTTGAAGGGAAAAAAGGCTTTTCTAAGCATAATACAAAATCCAGAAAGAAAATTACTGGTAAATTTAACTACATCCGAACTGAAATATCCTGTGCAAAACAAATGGTTAACACACAGAACACTTAAGACAAACTGTAATAAATACTTACCACATATATATATGATAAAGAACCAATTTCCTTAATATACAATGACCTCTTAAAAATTAATTACAAAAGGACTTAATAGTAAAGTGGGTAAATGATACAGAGACTTTATATAAGGTAATACAAATGGCCAATAAATAATAAAATGATCTTAATAATACTATGCAAATCAAATAATTATTATAAGGCTGATAATAATTTAAGAGTTTGCTATGCTTGATTTGGAGTATTGAATTGGTATAAGCTTTCTGGTGGCCATTTTCACTCATTCAAGTTATGAAATATATATTAAGTAACTATTATATGTGAGTACTATTTAAGATGCTAAAAAAACAGTGATGAATCTTGTAAGCATCCTCCCTAGAGACCAAAAAACCCAAAAATATCTAATTGAGGCCTCATTGATGAGGAGCTAGCCATTAGAAGGACCAGAAGAATGTTTTAGGCAAAGGGAATTGCAAGTTTAAGAACCTAAAGTGGAAACATGTTCAGGTTTTTAAAGAACAAGAACACCACTGCAGCTGAAGTGTAGTGAACATGGAAAAAGTGGCAAGAGATGAGCTAGGAGGATGGAGACAGACACCAAATCCAAAGGGCTTTGAGGACCAAAGTAAGGAATTTGGATTCTATTCTAATTGTAAGGGAATGCCATTAAGTGTTTTAAGCAGGCCCTATGAGCTGACTAGAACTTTAAGAAGATGGCTGTGGTGTTTCCAACTGCAGGAATTATGAGGGGATGGTGCTGGAAGCAGCATGTATGAATAAAAGAAAATGATGATTTGAATTAAGGTGGTAGCAGGAAAGACAGTAAAGAGTAGTTCAGTTCGGGGTATAACTAGAAAGTAAAGCCTGGGTTCTTGATACCTGGGACTTTGGCCTGAGTGACAGGATGTCATTAACAGAGATGATAATGATAATGAAAATGATAGTTACAGCTAACATTTACTGAGCACTAACTATATGCCAGGCACTATTCTAAGCTCTTACCTCTAGTAACTGACTCGATCCTTAATAATACACACACACACACACACACACACACACACACACACACACACACACCCTTCATTTTATAGATGAGAAAATTGAAGCCAAAGAGGTAAGGTAACTTGCCCCAGATCACATAATTTATGTTACACAGAATTAGAAACCAAGAAGCCCATTCCCTTAATCATACATCAAATGAAACTTGGCATATTAGGAGAGGAACAAGTTTGGGTATCTTTAAAATGTGTGTTCTCTTTGGTTTCACAAATTTTACTTTTAGGGATGTGTGTTACAGAGACACAAAGACATACGCAGGAAGATGCAAGTATAAGGACGTTCACTGCTGTATTGTTTGCAATAGCAGAAATTTCGAACTGATGAAGTAATCAGTAGAACAATTAGAAAATTTGTTGTACATCATTATTACATAATCCTATGCAGAATAAGAAAGTTAATATATATACTTATATAGAAAATGTGTTATAATTCTTTTTAAAAAATTTAAATGTTACCTAAAAAAATTTTTTTAAAATTCCATGAGCAAAATACTATGTGTATTTATCATAGAAGCATGTTTTACATCATATTCTATATTCTCCAAGTATAATGATTCAAATAGTCTAGACTAGAGCCAGTACTCTGTAATTTACATTTTAATATAAATCCCAAATAACTAAGATTTCTGAATAGCTTAAAGATCTTTTTTAGCTTCCGTAAGTCTTAAAAAAAAAAAAAAAAGGAAAGAAATGAAAAACTTGTTTTCAATGTGAAACATTTAGCTAAATTAATTTTTTTTGCCAAATGTTTATAATAATTTGTTAAAATCCAGCTTCTATTTTACAATTTCAAAAAATTTACCTAGTTTTAAAAAACAGCAAAGCTAACTTTTTCTCAGGTGTCATATCTAAAACATTTTCAAGCAGAATTTTTAAAAAGTCATATCTTTTTTTGTTTTTGCAAAATGTAAACACCATGACTCCAATTTTATAAAACAAAGATATTTTTAAAAATCACACATGTATATATGCCCATTATACACATATTTGCATATGTAGCGATATGGAAAAAAATATGAAAGAATAAATTTTGGACTGTTTCCATTGGTACTGGGGTAGGTTTGTGGAAGAAGGGTGTCAGTGAGGAAAGAAAAAACAGAGACACAAAACTTAAAGACTCAACTGTGCAAGGATAACATTAAAAACTAAGAACCCTGCCATAAAGGCCAGAGGAAAGGAAACTTTCAGAAAAAAATGAAGTGGAAGAAGGCATTCAGACTTCTGGTCAAGATGGAGGAGTAGCCAAAATGCTGAGGTTGGTGTACATGCAACGGAAGCGGAGATACAGGTGATATTAGAACAATTTTGTGGTATCTTTAAAGTCAACTACATTGCTCCAATGCCACATTTCTATAGCCAAAATTAATGACCGATTTCTTTTTCAATTAACTGGGTGAAGCAGCAAAAATGTTAGATATGTGGGACAGCAGCAATCTTAAGTATGCTCTTGAAAATATTCAGAAAGAATGTTTCAAGCAGTGCACAATGCTCCAAAATTTCTGGGATCCCTTCAATGAAACTCATGATAATCAAACAAATCTCCAACTCTAGCAGTTAACGAGGAAATAAGTCTTTACCTACTTGATTACCTGGTCTTTACCTAGTTATTATTAGAGAGGACGCGTTTAATTGCTAAGGGGCAACATTCCCATCAGCAGTCCTCTATCCTGGCAGAACCAGCCAAACACCCTGTTCCTCTACCCACATCAGTGGAAAGCCACCATTTATTTAGTATCACAAATGCATAGTACAGTGACGGCAGGAACAATCTGGCAGCAGATAGTGGTGAGAAATGAGAATGCCTGTATGTTATCAAAATTAAACCTGGCTACTAAAAACTTCTTTAAAAAAATTTAAATAGTTTTGTTTAAAAAAAATGAATGGGGGCCGGCTGAGTGGCGCGATGGTTAAGAACTGGCTTGGGACGCTAGAGGGCCCCGGGTTCGGATCCCACATGAGGGCCAGTGACACTGCCCTCTACAGCTAAGATGCTGAACAACAGCTCAACCTGGAGCTGGGTTGCTGTGGGTCGCCGGCGACAGCGTAGGCTGCAGCCCCTGCTGCAGTGGGTTGCCATAAGCTACCATGTGTAGCTGACAGCCAGCATGAGTGGCCAGCAGCCGCCGTGAGCGGCCATCCAGAGGCAGGTGACTAATCTGCCTCGCCCGGGAAGAGCGTAATGATAGTGCCAAGTTGGGCCAGTGAAGCAACGTCCTCCACAACTAGACTGAAGAACAAAAACGACAGCAACTTGTCTGTTCCCCTTCCCCCAATTCCCCAGCACTGTTCCCATCCCCCCAATTCCCCAATAAAAATCTTTAAAAAAAAAATGAATGGAACAAGTCTAGTACAGATACACTGAAGAGGTTCTAGAACTACTCTCTAAAAGCACACTTGCTAAGATTTGGTATACATACTATATGATTGACAAACTAAGAGCTGTATCAGAATCCACTGTGCAGCCTTTATGCTTAGTTGTCTATAAAGGTTTAGTAACTTATATAGACTTTTCATCAGAGGCAAAAAAATGAAAGAAAAATATTTATGTTGTAGGTTTGGATATGCACAAGACAGGGAAAAGAAGGCTGGTTTCCTAATCTTGATTCTACTTCTAACTAGCAATGTGTCATTGTATAAACTCTTTTCTCTCTCTAATCCTCATTTTACTTATCTGTAAAACAGCAAGGACTAGAATTCAGTTTCCAAGGTTCCTTCTAGTTCTGACATTCTACAATTCTACTCCATAAAATATAATTAGTGAAGAGTTGCCAGTTATTTTTAAGAAACCCTCTGAATAGCAAAAATTTAAAAGAACTAAGAAAGCTCCCAGCAAACCTGTGCCTGAAGTAGTCTCAGCTGTCGGTCTTGCTCTGTGAGGAACCTATATGCATCCGGAGACAGCCCCATCATTCCATTATCTGACCCAGTCTTGGTTGTGTGCATGCAAACTGCACAAGGCTTCAGGTTACAGGAGTCCCCATGTGAAGATAGTCTTGCCACAGGCGACGGTTCTACATTGCTGTGGGGAGAACCACCACCCATGCTTCCTTGAGGTCTCAAGGGTATAGGACTACTTGAAGAATAGAATGCATTATGGTACAGAGCTGGACAACCACTTGAGTGAAATACTGAATGTTTTTGAAGGGCTTCAGACTGGAGGTCTGGAATGGATCCTACTGTATTCAATCCTTGCCAAGAATTTATTGGACTATAGTGTATATGGCCATGATGCTGACAACAACTGCAAACATTTGTGGAATAGTAAGATGGTGGTGGGGGAGTAGGTATTTGAAATTCCACCGGTTTTCCTGAATTATGGGGTGAAAAAAACAAATTGTGTGGGTGGGACTGTGGGGCAAGAGAAGGTTGCCTGGCATTAACTGTGGAAAATCTTATAGGGTACTCTTCTTTGTGCACATTTCCAGAAGAAACTGTTTGAAGCTTTTCAGATGTATCAGGAGATGGCCCATTAAGAGAAGATGGTTTAATGCTGTTCCTGATATGGGGGCTCCCATTCTTACAGGTAGGTGGCTCTCCTACTTTGCAGTGTCTCAAAGGAGTAGTGCCCTGGTTTAACTGTTTTGGTAGCCTTTTCAAGGAAGAGTCTCCAGCTTCGGCTTCTGGGCTGTGTTTCTCATCATAAAGCTGGGGTTGCAATGGCTCCAAGTGTTCGGAGTGACTAATCAACAAAGGAGGGTTTTCATTATTCACCATTTCCAAAGGATTAGGCAGTGGGTTTGAGTCTATGTAATTGCTATCGAACACAAGTGAAAGTTCTGGTACTGATGGTTGGATCTTAGAAATCTGTAAATGGGAAAGAAGTGAAAGAGGAAAAAGTGGTTTTTAGCAGAAAGATATATGGTTCACTTTCCTTAGAACAATATTTCCCAAGTTATATCTAGCTACTTATTAAAAAGGGTTCACTCTTTATCTAGACAGATGATGAATATTTTCTGGGCATCTTCTATGTGCTAGGCATTAGGAACACAACTGTGAGCAAAACAAACAAGGTCTTTGCCCTCAAAGAATGGAACATGTAACGATGGAACTCCTTTTATTGAAACACTGAATAACATTGCTTAGATCATAGAACACAGTATGAGAAACTATGTTACAATAGACTTTTATTACCCTCTCTCTGCAAAATATTTATCATAGGCAGAATGCTTCAACAGATTTAGTAGCAAATAATGTTTCTGGATCTTAAATAATAATCTTCCAATAAGTATTTCAGAATATTTTTCCACTAAGTGATATTATTCACTGTTATTCTTTCTACTGATACCAGCTATTGAGTTGTTGGAAAAGTCATGATGCATTTTTGCAACGAAAAACATAGAAAAAGTACATCATGACTTTTCCAACAACCCAATAAAAGAGTTGGAAGAGAGCAAAAAGGGTAAACAAAATATTCGCTGTGGTGAATTTGGTTATAATTTGATATTAATTTTTAAAAATCTTTCCCATTCTTTTTTTTCTAATAAGGAATTAGTCCAATTAAGGTACAATTCTAAAATAACCCACTAGTTGGCTGCAATCAACAAATTTGGGGATTATTGCAATTAATCTCCAAAAGTAAGTAGAATGTTTTCTCAGAATATGGTAAAAAGAACCAATGTCAAGCTCTGGTGATAATACAGAATGTTGAGTGTATATGGGTTAAAAGCACCAGATTCAGAAGCCAAACCTCCTGACAGAATTCCAGCTTTATTACTTACTAGTTCTGTAATCTTGGGCAAGTAACTTAACCAAGCTGTGCCTCAATTTTCTCTGGGAATGATAATTATATATATATATATATCTGAGAGGAATGCATATATGGCCATATAGATATATACAGCTAGATATATCTTAGAATAAATCTTCAGTAAGTTTTAGGTTGTATTATTGAGTGCTTTAACATGAAGGGACTTTTAAGTTTCTAACCACAAAGGTGAGTATTTTTTAAAATCAGTAAGTGATACCTTCTGACTCACTGGATGAGGACTAGGAATTGGTCTTGGAGAAAAATCTTCATCTTCAACACCAGAGTCATGATCATTTATTGGCATTTTCCCTGGAGATAACTTTTGGGAAGACCTAAAAGAGTAGACGGGGAGACAAGAAAAGTCTTCAGTAATCTAGTGCTTGTTCTTTCTTTTTGAAATTGAATAAAGTCCTTTAATAAACCACAGTAGCATTTGGATTATTTAATTTAGTATCTGACAACCACAAATTATTTTTTATGACAATGTTTGTTGCCCAAGACAGCTGGCCCAATCAGACTTATGCTTAATAAAAGACCTCTTTGCCTGATCATCACAAGTTTAAACCACTTATTCTTAATGTCAGAATAAATCAACTTACTGAACATCTTTTAACCACTTTGAGAAATGCAGAAATAAGACATACAACTTGCCACCAAAAACTTTATACTGTGTTGATAGAAATGTACACTCACTGTATTAAACACACTGTATTAAAAAGGGAAATCAAGTAAGGAATTACATTTTCCTGTGTACTTGTATCTGTGATGGAAAAATATTTTGAGACATTATTGGAGGTACTTCCTCTCATTTAGTCAGTTGCAGTCATTGTATCACAGGTGGCATCAAGTTTTTTTGCATCCTAAATTATAATAGATAAAATCTCAATAGGATGGGTTAGGGAAGGGGACAGAAAAGCCAGAAGAAAACTAAGAGAGCTCAGACATTAACGGATTCCCGAAGAAAGGGTGCTGCATCCTGTCTTCCGAGCAGGAAGAACAGAAACCCTCAGGTAGACCTGGAAGATGTGAGAGCAGGAGAGACCTTTGCCCCAAGTCCTGGGAGTCTGGGGAGGCAAACACTTACGGAGTTCTTTCTGTGCCCAGGTGCAGCAATGAAACAGTGAGAATGAATGTCTGCATGGTGTGTTTAAGCAAAGGGTCTGTACCAGTCCCACAAAGCTCTCCCCCCACACCCAAGAATGACATGGAGAATACGGAACCATATCGCCTGCACCTCAGTGCAGCATGGACCTGACCCAGAGAGCCAATGACCTGAACAGGGTAAGGAGGCTGCAGCAGGAACCTACTGCCAAAGACCAGATGCAAATGAAAACACCTCAGCAGACAGCAGCATGGATGGATGATAATCATGTCACCCCACATCACCACTACTGGCACAGCATTAGTCCCCTCTAAATTACATATATCCAGAGGAAAGGATAAAAAGACCTTGAATTGACTGATATTTGGTTTCTATATCCCAGAATAATGAATAGGGGCTCAAAAGGGAAATTAAGTTCAATTATTTTTAAAAAGAAAAAAAATTTACATTTTTTTAAAATACCTGAGTTTATGGCAAGGATTTTAATATCTGCTACATACTTATGATAAACACACACACACACACACATATACCCAAAATTTCCAACACTGAACAATACCCATTTCGGACCTTTTTTTAGAACCCAAGGCAAAAAGAAAAACTTTAGGTTGTATAGTTAAAACATCAGTTCTTTAAACAAAACAAACATTTTGCTAAAATCTAAAATGATCATTATTAAAGTTTTAGTCAGAGTTGAAAATACACAAGGTTTTCAACAACAGTGTTAAAGAAAACGTAAGTGTCTCCATAATTTGGCATTTTCTCCCATAAATATTCAATAAATAAATGCTTCTAAGAAAAAAAAATCATCTGTAAAGATAGCATTCATTTAAAAGAGATGTTAAAACAGCAAGATATTGTCATGGAATGGGGGGTTGTAACTTCTAATTATAGTATATAAAATCTCAGAAAGATATTATGGTCACCTTTAAGACAGACTTTCTAAATAGCTCATATCAGACTGTGGCTGTATGCAGAGCCAGTCTTCTGGGGTTTGGGGAAGAATGCTTGGGATCTGTTAGGAAGCTTTAAGAACCTAGGTAGCAGTATACACAGTGGGAGTTTGCGCCCCTTTTGCTTAACACTTCAATTAACATGGTGGGAGTTAAAAGCACCCTTAGAAGTTAACCAGGAGAGCTTCCCAAAGTTTTCTGTTTTAGGAAAATGAGGCCCAGAGGGGAAGTGACTTGTTCAGGGTCACCATTATAGATTGAAGTCCAATATGGGATTGTATTAATAGCTACTCTAATACCTAATGTGTACTAAGCACTTTGTGTTGTGCTTTAAATATATTATCTCATTAAAATTCTATAACAATCTTTCAATTTAGGCGATATTACGGACATTTTACAGTCAAGGGCACTGAGGTTCACAAAACTTAAGCAACTTGCATAAGATCACATAGCTTCCAATGGCATAACAGAATTTTCTTCAATGATGGAAATGGTTTTATCTCTGTCCAATATGGCAGCCACTATGTACTTGAAGCTACTGTAGTTTTGAAATGTGAGTAGTGGAACTGAGGAACTGCATTTTAAATTTTATTCACTTTTAGGTATTTTAAACTGCTATTTGTGGCTAGTGGTCACCATATTGGAGATCACAATGTAGAACTTTTTGACTCCCAAATCTATTAACTTTGAACTGGGTCTTATTGCTTTTTAGATCTCCTACTTTAGTTTCCTTTCTTCCATTCCACCAGGAGATGCTTAGATTCAGCTCTTAAATGGAATTTAAATGCTCAATTAGCTATAGCTGAATTTTGCTTTCACTCTTTGAGTGGTTAAAATAAGCACATGATTATTTTTTTCAATGCTTGCATGTCACAGTAAAAACTGATGGACAAAAACTGTAAATGACATTTTCATGTTTGGTTAAAATAGTTGTTTATAGGAACTGCTGAAAAGGTAGTCAGCTTGTTGGTTATTTTAGTGTAATAAAAGAGTATAAATAGGAGACAATATGAAAAATCACTAATGGGGAGTTGAAAAAAATGACCCCCTAGTACACATGTTTACATGATCATTCGACGATTCTTTTTAAATAACTTAATAAGTGTCAGGTAAATAATACAGCCAAATCATCATTCAATTTTCCTTACATAGCTGCACAATTATTCTGAAGAATTAAAATAATTGCTTTACTATCAAGGAATAAAATTCAAATGATTAAAACAAATAACAAAGATTCTTTTGGTGGCAAATAGTCAAAAAGTTTTGTGCTTAGTGGATTTAATTTAAATGTTACATTTTAGAATTCAATTGGTAGAAGTTCAACAACTTTCTAATTTTGTAAGAAAGTGAAAATTATAAGCCATGTTAAAGCAAGCATTCATTTATCTCGTTTCTCTCCATAAATATCCAATAACCCAATACCTATTCCTTTCCTTTTTTCCTGTATACTATAGGGTTGTCGGAAAAGTCATGACGTATTTTTTCTGTTTTTCAAAGGCTATTTATTTATATAAAGAACAAAGATTAATCAACGATATATTGACCGTTTTGTTCGATAACCTTTTGCCATCTTTCAGTGAGCTTCATAATTCCTTGTTCATAGAAGGACCTGTCTTAATTGGCAAAAAACTGAACAAGGTGCTGATTTACAGCCTCATCTGAGTTTAACGTTATACCATGCAAGGAGTTTTGAAGAGAGCGAGACAAGTGGAAGTCTGACGGTGCAAGGTCAGGTGAGTATGGTGGGTGTGGCAACACATCCCATCCAAGCTCCAATAATTTTTGATGGGTGATCAAACTTCTGTGTGGTCTCACGTTGTTGTGATGGAACACAACTCCTTTACAATTAATGAGCTCTGAATGTTTCTGGATGATGGATTCGTTCAAACTGTCCAAATGCTGACAGTACATATTCGAATTGATTGTTTGGTTCCTTGGTAGGAGCTCAAAAAACACACCTTTAAAATCCCACCACATTGAGAGCATAACCTTCCTCTGATGGATGTCTGCTTTCGATGAGGCTGGCGGTGAATCATCACGTCAGGACCAAGACTGTTTACGCACCACAATGTTGTAAACAATCCACTTCTCATCACCAGTTTTATCAGTCGTTTCAAAAAAGGATCGTTTTCCTCATGTTTAACAAGCATATTGCAGATGCTGATGAACTTCTTTGAGTTCACGTGGAACCCAAATATCGAGCTTGCTTATGTATCCCAGCTTCCTCAGGTGGTCATGAACGCTTGATTTCTGCAATCTCTCGTGTTGTGTAATGTGGGTTTGACTTGATCAATGCCTTTATTTTGTCGTCATCAACCTCGGTGGGCCTCCCTGACCGGGGATCATCGAGATCAAAATCACCAGCATGGAATTTCGTGAACCATTGTTGGCGCGGACATTCTTGTAGAACATTGTCACCATAAACTTTATGCAACTTTTCACAAGCTTGACGTGCGTTCTTCCCTTTATGGAAGGAAAACAGTAAAATATGGCAAAAATGCACACTTTGGTCTTCCATCTTCAACTTGTTGTAAAATCTCCAAAACTCAACCAAATAGCTCAAATTTTTTTTTAGAATGAAGCTAGAACTGTCAGCTGTCAAATGACATACCAATATCATAGATGCAAAAGACTAGTACTTCCAAAAATGAACTACTGCCATCTGTTGCAAAAATGCGTCATGACTTTTCCGACAACCCAATACTTTCGGGAAAAGACAAATGATTATCTCTTTTTATTAGGATTTTTAAAAATGTAACTTCCAGGTTCAGTATAAATATATATGAATCTGCCGTACCTTTTATAGTTAATTGTACTGCCCAGGGATAATCACAGTTCATAATTCCAACCCTTGGCATTATATAACCCTGACACATATACTAGTAAATCAGCTTTAAATGTTCTGTATTATTTTAGTGTTATGTGAAATGCGTGGCCTCCAGCTCTTTGAAATTTTTAAATTCAACAGTAGGTAAGGAAGATGTCAGTCAATGAGACTGTTCAGATAACTGAAACAGTCTGTTCTTACCCATTCCTGACTACTGGGAATATAGTTATTTTCAAGGAACGAGGGTGAAAGCCATGCTATAAATAGGATTATAGTGTTCTCATGACTGTGTCAAACACAGGAAACATGATTTAACTCATGATGTATGGTTCCTTTTGTAGGACATCAAGGTGCTCAATACAAATTAGAGATAGTGAATTTTAAAAGATAAAGATGTTGAAAGGATGGGCAAAGATTGGAAATCTTATACCTCTAGTGAGGACCATACCTGAGTATTAGTTTGAAATCAGAATATCTAGTCTGTCACGGACTTACTTTACTTTTTAGCTGTGTGTCCTTGATAAACTTCTGAACCACTCTAGATTTCCTCAATTTAACATAAGTAGAAAATATCTCATGCATACAATTTTTCAGACGGTTGTCACAAGGGATTAATGAGTCAGTGAATTGAAAAGTGTTTGGCAAAGCCTTATACAAACTCTGTATTTCATTATATTCCAAAGTTTAAAACTGAGCCATTCCTATGGTATTACTTTGAGTGTTTTCAGAGACCTCCAAATTGTGTTTGGACAATCTGAAAGTCATTTATTTTTTTCCTTTCTGATGAGTAAACAGTTTCAAGTTAAAAAGAAAACAACAACTCAATAAAATCTTTTCTGGTTATCTAACCTGTTTCAAGGGGAACTTAAAATGTCCAAAGAGGAGAGAGTACACCCTAGACATCTTTCTAATCCCCAGAACCTGTGAATACGTTACACTATATGGTAAAAGGAAGTTTGCAGGTGTGATTAAGGATCTTGAGATGTGGAGATTATCTTGCATTATCCAGGTCTACTCAATGTTATCACAAGGCTCCTAATATGATGGAAGCGTGAGGGTCAGAGTCAAAAGAAAATGTGAGGATAGAAGAAGGGGTCAGAGACAGAGATTTGAAGATGCTATGCTGCTAGCTTTGAAGAATAAGGGGTCACCAGACAAGAAATATAAGTGGCCTCTAGAAGCTGAAAGAGAATAAAATGGAATATCCACTAAAGCTTCCAGAAGGGACGCAGCCTACAATCACTTGATTGTAATGATTTTAGTCCCAAAGACCCATTTTGGACTTCTGACCTCCAGAACTGTAAGACAATAACTTGGTATAGCTTTAAGTCAACAAGTTTGTGGTGATATGCTATAGCAGCAACAGGAAACTAATACAGATACAGTCATAATTCCCTTTTATGGATGGGATATTGATGTTTAGAACCAGGACTAGAACACAGATATGTCCGAAACCATAACCTGAGCTCACAACTATTGTTATGCAACCATTATGAAGAGCTAGCATAGTTGGCATCGACTTTAAACTTGTATCAGTTAATAATTGCAATACTCTATATATAATGAAACTTATACCTGCTCAAAATCAATCTCTCTCTCTCCCCACACACACATACACTCCCCCACCCCCAC